ATGTACGTAACACTTTGTATTTTGGAAAACCACGTAAATAATCAGAGTAGGTAGGAGAGAGGAATGCCTTTGGGTTTTTATAGGTTTGCTTACATTTCTAGGAGAAATCTTGATGGGTTTTACAACTATAAAGCTTACTACTTGGGTAAAGCTCATGTCCAATAAAAACACTGCTGTGGAGACATCCCATCCCTGCTGTCCTGCCAGTTGTACCACGCCTGTGCAGCCCACACAGGCGTCTGCATGCTCCCAAACCCCAGGCTGGATGCAGGAGAAATTCCTGCAGGCCTTCTTAGGTCGGGGTGTTGGTCCTCTCCTTAAACACCCCCAGGAGAGCACCCAGGAGGCAGAATGCGCTGCAAACTGTGGGACACCCCCAGGACAAGTTAACTCCTGAGACTGCCTCCGTGCTTTTCAAACAAGGTGGGTCTGGGCTGGTCTTCTGGGAGAAACAGTGGAGACAAGCTGTTTGGGTAGTTTATCTGGGTAGGAGGCATTGTCCTGGGCTTTGACCTCCCTGTTGGAGAGGCTTGTTGAGTCTGATCTGCAAATCTGGGTGTGAGCCTGTCCCAGGACAAGCCAGTGCAGGTAGAGGGAGGTAGCTGGGACACTTCCCCTAACCTGGAGGGTTTTTTCAGGAAACACCTCAGGAAATTACACTTTAGTCTCTCAAAAGCAGAGAAATTAATGTGGAAAGAAGTAATGCTGCATCTAAATCCAGTGCTGTGCTTCTAAATTATTCTGGTATGGATATGGGCTTTAATAGGGGCAAAATAACTGTAGCCTTTCATATAGTAATTATTTTCCTTGCTTGCTTGAGGTAGTCATTACAATCTTGGATTTAAAGTAGGCCTGGCATCTCAGATTTATTAACCAGGAATGTAACTTGTGCCTCTGTAAATCACAGAATGGCCCCAAACCTCCCCAGAACACAGCCTTGTTTCCTGTTGAATCTGCATCACCTTGCCCCGGATGAGCACCTGTGCGAATGCCAGCATGGAGCCAGAGGAGTGTGCTGACAGGGTTTCCTTCGTGGCTGAACTTCTGTGTAATGCTGTTTTTTGGCTCTGACTTGCTGGGCAAGCCGAGGAGGGAAAGGGGGTTTAATTTCTCTTAGCGGTGGTGGGCAGCCGGGTAGTTGTGCCTCACCACTCACAGAAGAGTCTAGTGTTGTGCAAGAGAACCTCAGAGGGAACTAATGCTTTTTTAATTAATGACATCTGGATAGGTCCCTTCCATTTCAAAGCCCCCTTTGTTTCTCCCATTTTGGTTTGGAAGCAGATAGGGCAGGGCAGCAGCTTGCTGCCCCTGCCCAGAGCCAAATACGCAGTACTGCTCAGCTCCCACCAGCTGCTGATACTGGTGGCTGTTTACCTACATTAGTGTTTTTAAGGGGAAAAACTGAAAATAAAGTATCAAATAACAAGATGTTTCCCACACTTGGCACAGGATTTCAGTTGTCGGGATGCTCAGGACAGCCAGCAGCAATGGCCACTGTGGTGCTGCCAAGCGGGCATGGCACCGAGCCCTCGCCAAGGGCTTTGTTCCACTCCGCCAGCCCTGCACCCACACTCACCCTCAAGGACGAGGGTGACAGACAGGCACTTGGCACAACTCCGGCCAACAGTGCTGGATTGTCCTTTTGGTCAGCATTTCCCTGCCTCCAAAGCAAGCAATGATGTGTTTCTTCCAATCATTTCCAAACAATCCAACAGGCAGAGAAGCCCTGCCCTGGCCCACACGCTGTGCAGGGCATCAGGTGGCTTGTGCCAAGCACAGCTTGTAGCAGCTTTGGCACCATGTCCCCCTCCCCATGTCCCACCAAACAGCACCAACAATGCAGGGCTGTGCCAGGGACAAGTCCATGGCAGGTGAGACTCTTCTGCAGGCCAGGCCACCTCACACCCAGCTTTCTCCTCTTCCCAAGCCACAGCTCAGGGTCAAGACCTGCATCCAACCTCACAGAGATAGTCTCAACTTCCAGGGAGCAGGCAGTGGTAGCAAAAGAGGAAAAAAACCCACTGCACAAGAGCCTCAGCTTGGTTTAAGCACTTGCAGATGAGGTTTTAACTCAAAAAATAAAACAGTAAGACCAGTGGGGAAGGGGTATGGAGACCAGGGAGCACAAGTATCTGCCCAGCTCAGCAGCTGTCCCAGTCAGCCAGCGTGTCCCCTCCACACCTCCCACCACCACCCCAGTGCTTCGCAGCTCTTTGCACTCAAAGCCACTGGAGTCTAAACATCAGCAGGACCAAAGGGACAGCGTCAGGGCAGGGCCTGTCAAGGTCAAGATGTTACCTCCAAGAATGTGGCTCAAAGCCTGTGCACGTCCCTCTGCAGCGTAAACAAGGCACACCTCTTCCTGACTGCAGCTGGCTCGCTGACATCTGGAAAAGAACAGGACACTCGAGTTGGAAAGGCTTTATTCTCAAAGATTATCGGAGACTAGAGTACCAATGTTGTGTTTTGTCCTTCAGATGTGCCTTATCTCATGAAGCCTCAAACTTCCCAAATGTCATTTGACCTGCTACAAGTTTTTTAGGGATGCTCGGGATGAAGATTTTTGCCTTAAAGTGAGAGAAGATGGCATGTCTGGACCAGTGTGGGGGTATGGCACATCAAACAATGAACATGCACACACACTGGGCAGCCACCTTAATCTCATGCACACAGGCCTCAGATCTCATTAAAAGGTTATTTGGGTTCAGCTTATGTATTGCACATGAATCTGTGCAAGTCAATGTGCAAGTCAGAAATTTCAGGCAGCGAGACATGGAGGTGCACTGCCATGACCTGATGTTAAACATTTTTTACTGCAGCTTGGACCTCCTTGGTCTTCCTACAGGGACTCAAGTGTATTTTGGGAATGGGGCATACTCCCACACCTCTGGTGCTGGACTTTACAGGTGGTTTCCACGGTGAACAGGAAACACAGGAGGAAAAGCAGGATGG